TATTTGGTATACTAATTTCTGATTAATTATTGATGCTATAAGTATTTCTTACCATTTGTTCAATGGTTTCTTTTGATGAACAAAAATTCACCATTCTAATTTCAAAGTAGTCAAATTATTTATACTTTTTCTTTATGGTTTTTGCTTTTTACATCTTAAAAAAGTTATCCTTCTTTTACTCTGTTATCATAAAGATGTTTTCCCACAACATGTTCAAAGAATTTTAGAGTTTTGCTTTTCACATTTAAGTCTTCAATCTGCCTGGGTTAAGTTTATGCATGACGTGAGGTGGGGACCCAATTATGCCAACACCAGCGCCATTGTTGAAAATATCCTTTCTCTACGGCAATACTATCTCTGTCTTATGTCAACTTACCATATATGAATAGATTTGCTTTGGGGCTCTATGTGTATTCTGTTTTATTAATCTTTTTACTTATTCCTGTGCTAATAACACCCTGTATTAATTCCTTCTTCCTGAAGTAGATTTTTTTTTTTTAGTTGTGCTTCCAGTTAGCACCTATGAGTGGTAAATTCTATCTTTGTCTGAAAATATCCTTATTTCATCCTCTATGCTGAATTTCCCTTTAAAGTATTATGATATTTTAATTTGATAGGCATTTTAATTTGAGTGACGTTCCCAAACATTTAGCTCATCGTACTACTGAATGAGTATCTTTTTACATGGCTTTTCTTCTTTCTTTGTTTTCCTTATATCTGACTCTCTCTTCATGATAATTTACTTTTTAACACTAGTTACCCCCTCCGTCCCCCACCAAGGGATCCCCTGTGAGAAGGAAAACCAAAATGGATGAATTCAGAGTTTCTACCTTCCCTTGCCGAAGTCATATTTCTTTCTTCTGCATTCATTGTTTTTCTTTCCCGCCTGGAAATTGATGACTGGTAGACTTGAGATCTATATCATAACCTCATTTACTCAGTATGAACATAGCCAAGAATGGTGTGAGGTGGTAGCAAATAGAGCATTGCAGCTGTGAGAGAAAAATTATTGGCATAAGGAAACAAACGCAGTGAGCCAGAAACTGGTTCAAGCTAAACCAGTATGAGAAACAGTCACAAAATCCAATGTGACCCACAGAGATAAACAAAATTTGACAAAGGCATTTTGTAGAAACCAATCAGTCTTTCACCCCACTGAAGAATTATGGGTATGAAATACAGAATCTTAGAACACTTAATAATCCTCATTCAAACATAAATAATTAATGTTCATTTTATAGTGGAAGAAAATCAGTTCTGTAAAAACTGAGAAACTTGCTAATATCAATTGCCAAATAAGCAATGCTGAGTGCCTTGAGCCAGTGATTGCCAGTCTCTCTCCCAGCCCCAAACATCCTGATCTTTTCAGCATAGGAGGGGTCATCAAAAGATCACTGAGATGGGGTTAAGAACCCACCTTCTGTTAAACATACTGACAATATAAGTAACAAAAGAGAATCCCTTCATGTTTTTCTTCTTTTACTTAATTTCTTTTACTACAGCAACAGAAAATTCCAAAGGACAGATGAATGAACTCTAACAGCACATTTCATTTGGATTTCTTTTCAATTCTTAAATGCATTAAGTACAAATAATCTGGACATGTGTTAGAAGTGCTTGAATATAACACAAGAAGAATCAGATAGACATCATGTATTTTGAGGACCTATAACTTACATTAGCTTACTCCAAAGGATTAAGATGATAATAGCTAACTGATGATAATAACTGAACATGTACTGTGTATTAGGCACTGTGGTATTTTACATGGATTATTTCCTCTCATCCTCACAATAATCAAGGAAGGCATATACTATTATCATTTTTATATTAAAGGGGATGAAAGTGAGGCTCAGAGAGACTAAGAAATCAGTCAGTTGAGGTAACCCCATATATAAGTGGTGGCAATGAATTCCTAACTCATTCATATCTGCTTAATTCCAGGCAAGACCCTTCCTTCTTAATACCATGAAATAATTTCACTAGAAGTTTCTTTGGTCTCTTTGATGTCATCTACTCTATCTTCATGAAAAGTCATTGAGTAAAAATGATTTAGGATGGTATTTGTATTAGACAAAACTCCGTGTTGCTAGTACAGAAAACCCAACTCAAGCTGGCATTAACAATAACAGACTTAGATAATGTGCCCACTCCCAAAGGAAAACTGGAACCAGGGTAACATTATGCACTGACTGGCTCAGGCATGGATGATGTACCCATCTGTGTACCACAAACTGTGACAGGGGCAAAATGGATAACTTGAACTGCAATCTGGGCAATTACTGAAGCCAAGGATGGAGACAATTCCACTAAAATTGAATGACTGTCCCTTTACCTGGGGAGGAAGAAAATGGCAAAACAGAAGCACAAGAAGATGAGGGAAAATAATCAGAGTCAAATAAATGGAATCCTTACTTCCTCTCTCAGTAAAAGATTGACACACAAATAAGACTTAAAAAAAGATTATGACTACATTCTGTATCTTCAAAAAACTCTGGCCGGGTTTAGTGGCTCATGCCTGTAATCCCAGCACTTTGGAAGACTGAGACGGGAAGATTGCTTGAGGCTAGGGGTTTGAGACAAGCCTGGACAACATGATAAGACCCTGTCTCTACAAAAAAAAAAAAAAAAAAGAATAAAAGAAAAAAATCCAGATGTGCTAATGCATGCCCATTGTCCTAGCTACTCTGGAGAATGAGATGGGAGGATTGCTTGAGCCTTGGGAGACTGAGGCTGCAGTGAGCCATGATCACACCCCTGCACTCCAGCCTGGGTGACAGAGCGAGACCCTGTCTCAAAAAAAAAAAAAAAAAATTCATGGACAATGTATGAATTCATTATATCTCATGGCATTGTAACAAATAATCCTCAAATTCAGTTGCTTAAAATAATAAACACATTTCTGTGGATTAGTAACCTCGGTATGACATAACTGACTTAGGGTCTTTCATCAAGTTGCAGCCAAACCGTTAACTGAGGAAGGATTTGCTTCCAAGCTCACTCACACGGTTGTTAGTGGATTTCAGTGTCTTCTGGGTTGTTTGACCTAGGACTTCAGCTCCTTGACACGCGGGCCTCTCCACATGACCACTCACAACAGGCAGTAGTCTTCCCGCATGGCAAACAAGCAAGCGAGAGAAAGAAGACACCTAAGAAAATCTTTTAACAGCCTCTTCTTAGAATTGACATCTCATCACTTTCACCATATTTTATTCTTTAGTGGTGAGTCCTTAAGTCCAGCCTATACTCAAAGAAAGAGGATTACAGGAAGAGGTGAATACCAGGCAGAAAGAAGGTGGGTATTCTTATGGACTGCTGCGGACTGAATGTTTGTGTTCCCTCACAATTTTTATGTTGAAATTCTGAGCCCTAATGTGTTGAGATTTGGAGATGGGGGCCTTTGGGAGATAATTAGGTCATAAGGGTGGAGTCCTTATGAAGGGGATTAGTGCCCTTATGAGAAAAGACATAAGAGCTTGATTTCACTCTCTGCCATGTGAGCACACAATGAGAAGAGGGCAATCTGCAAACCAGACAGAAGGCCCTCACTAGAGAGGGGATCTGCCAGCACCTTGATCTTTGACTTCACAGTTTCCAGAACTGTGAGAAATAAATGTTTGTTGTTTAAGCCACATAGTCTGTGGTAGTATGTTACAGCAGTCTGAACTAAGACAGGGGTCACATTAGAAGCTGCCTACCATAATGTGTGCCTTTGTGTATATTAGCATGGGTATATGTATGGGCAGGGGGTCTGTGGGTGCACATGGCATAGGGCCAATAGTGTATTGAGATCTTACACATTTTCCTGTTAGGAACATAAGGGGAGGAAAACAGTAGTCATGGTCCCTGTAGGGAACAGATGGAATTCACAAATTGAGAATTTGAACTGGTTTAATAAAGGGACTATTTACAAATAGGTGGGCAAGTATAGGAAAATTATAAGGAATCGGGCTTGTCACCTGGTGCATCACTCCCCCTGGGCCTCGAGCAGTCAGGTGAAGGAGAAATAAACAGAACTAGGAGAGGATATTTGTATGAGAAGACCCCTGTCAGATGTATGACCTTTTGTTAAAGGATATGGTCAGCTCATGGCATTTCCATAGAGAAGGTGCCAAGGGAATAAATACCTTGACCTCACTTTCCTCCAGTCTCCTCCTGGCACTATCCATTGGCTAAAGCCAACTAGAAGCCAGAAGTCAAAGGAGTTCACTGATATAGGTCAGCCTCCTGGGGAACACATAGTAATGTGTGAAGAGTGGAGAGTGGATTTGGAGGGACAATCGAAAGATACCCAGGACAGAAAACAAATGTACTTAAGAGGAAAATCATATTCATAGTAGGCAGAGAGGAAGAAACAGGCTTACATGAATAGCTGTTGTTTACAGCAAGCTAGATGGAAGAGTTTGCTGACAGAGAAAGATATTCAACATCAAAACAAGCTTTCAAATAATTGCATCTCTTGAAGATCCTCAAAATAGGAAACACATACACATTTCTATGAACTTTTGTGGGAGAAATTGTACAGATGAAAGAAGCATGGGTGGCTAAGATGACTTTGAAGGGTCCTTGTAATTTGAGGATTCAATTTTCTAGGAGGAGTGATGCAAATCAGGTAACAAGATCTCCTGCAAAATATTCACAACTCTTTGAAATGGAAATTAGGCTATTCCAATTTAGAAATCAAATTAAGGCAAATATTCAGGGTGTTAGCAGGCTGTGCTCTTGCCTGTTTGAAGTAGTGGCTAAAGGAGAGAGGCGTACTTTTTCCTGGATGAAGCAGGATCTCTCTCAGCCAGTTTTCATCCTTACTTAGCACCTGCTGGTTTGGAGTGGTGTCACCCAAGCAATCAGACAGGGGGGATGTGCCAAAAGCCTGCCCTCCCTTCCCACTGTGTGCTACCCCTCCTTCCTACACCCCATGACAGCCTGTTCTGATATAGATGGACAGGGGACTGGTTTAAAATGACAGTCTCAAGTTCGTTTAGAAAGAGAAGGCTAATTCAAAGAAACAGCAAGGCAAGCTTCCTTTCTCTGTAGGAATCATTATTAGCCCCCTTCATCATGGCCCACCTGGGTGCCCATTTTGCCTTTAGATCCCGCTGGCAGAAGACCGACGATGAACTCTGTCGACATAGCATGTCTTTTATCCTTCACAAAGCCATTCGCAATGACTTCTTTCAGAGCTATCTCTACCTGCTGGAAAAAATTCCCCTGGGTAAGTGAGTCAGAGCTACTAGATAAGAAACAAGAAATGACTGAAGGGATTGCATGAGGTCATGGGGCTTCTAGAAGAGAATTTAAAACAAGGATACTTTTTAGATAAAAAAAAAAAACAAAACTCCACTACCAATGTCATTGGACTGAAATGTTTCAATGGAATTCTTTTATGGAGAATACAAAGATTAAGTGCCTAAAATAGAGTCAGGACTTTATTTTGGGATTTCCATGCACCCTCAGGCATTGTGATTTGCTTCTCTGGGTGTCTGTTGCCTGAGTATCAGGCTTGTAGAAACTCAGACATGTTTAATATTTACAAGAAATTGTAATTGGGCAAATTTGATAATTCAAAGATGAGAGTATTAATGCATTAATACACTGAGTAAGACTTAAAAAGAAAGACATAATAGATAAAAATGTGCTTGGGGTATGTATGTATGTTTATGTGTGTGTGCTTGTGTACACACTTATAATCCTCTCTGGTCTTCTTGAATCACAAGAATAGTCAGAGAGCCTTTAAAAAGCAGATTTTAGCTTGGTTTTTGAATATTAAGAAATCAGTAGTCTGTCTCCATTTTTGTTATTTCCTCTAGTTTTCAGAGACTTGGACAACAGAGCAATAAAAAGCTTATGTGGTTTGCCTACTCTACTTTTTTCAGCCTCTGTGAAAGTAGTTACTTAAGGGTACCCTAAACAGCACTGAAGAGGAAATAACTTACCATTAAAGAGTAAAGTACCCTCCTCCCTTTGATTTATATTTTCCCCCAGTGAAAGCAAGAAGGTTGTGTATCAGCCTAGTCTGTTTTCTTAAGGTCGTCTGAAAGCCCCATTGTGCACTTGAGGTGGTCAGGGTTTCCAGCTGTGGAAGCAGCTACATAATTCTTTGTATTGCATTCAAGCAACTGAATGTTAGCAGCCTGCCAAAACCTATTTATGAGGGATCTTTAATTCTAAACATACAAATACCTTCATTTCATATTTATATAACTTCTTTCTAAAACTTTTTATCATCTATGACTTTATTTGATTCTCATAGTCACACTATGGAATAGATGGGGTAGGTTATCATTATTTTTTTCTACCTACCTTCCCTCCTTCTTCCTTTCATTTTACTTTTTCAAAGGAGGGAAATAAAATTCAGAGATGGTGATATTTAATCTAGATAGAGTAATATCAAAGCAAAGACCAAAGTCCAGGGCTTTTTTTGGTAGATCACACTGCCCATGAGTAATTCTTTTAGGACATATAATACATCTCATCTATATCCAAAAGGAAAAAAAATAGAGCAGTTTAAGTGGAAGGTGATGATGTTCTAGCCACTTCATATACTGCAGAGCATTGCTTTTCTGGAGACACTCTTCAGGCCATACCTCAATAAGAGTAGCTTTGTAGCCTTGGTTTTATTAGACTGGAGAAAGGTATCAATTACGACAGCTGAGAAGAGAGTCACTAACAGGCAGATGACTGCCAAACTTTACAAATATTTACTAGCGAGAAAAAGAAGTCACCTTTGAAAGCAGCTGAAGATGAATGAAAAAGTAGAATACAATAGTCTCTTCTGAAAAGCAGATGAAAATTAATTTGGCACAAGTGGACAATAATTTACATTTGATCTCAATCCCTTTTATTGTCCAATAAAATCATTGTGATTTTGTGTTTTTCTCCCTTGTAAATATGCTAATGGTTTACCAATTATTTTCAACCTTTTAAAAAAACATTATTATCAAAAGGCAAAGTTTTTGACAAAATATTCCATGGATGCCCAGTGTAAAATACAGGAAAAAGTGAAACTTTTCTGCAAAGGATTGGGGTCAAGACCCTTTCCTTGGTCTAGTCCCTTAGACTCAGACTTACCACTGTCTCCGGAGGCACTTTTTTTTTTTTTCTGGAGACGGAGTCTTGCTCTGTCGCCCAGGCTGGAATGCAGTGGTGCCATCTCAGCTCACTGAAAGCTCCACCTCCTGGGTTCACGCCATTCTTCTGCCTCAGCCTCCCGAGTAGCTGGGACTACCGGCGACCGCTACCATGCCTGGCTAATTTTTCATATTTTTAGTAGAGACAGTGTGTCACCGTGTTAGCCAGGATTGTCTCGATCTCCTGACCTCGTGATCCGCCCGTCCTGAGACTCTTCTATAATACCTGTGGGGTTCCATAAACACAGTTTGAAAACCATTAGTCTATTCGAAGCCAACATTGCCTTCATTTTACTTATTTGCAACTTTCCATAAATGGGCATTGCTTATTTTCTCTGACCTGATGATTTGACCTGGACATTAGTTTCAACTGAGAGTCACAGAACTAGCCTCATCCACAGTACCTCTTTGAAGATAGAAATCGAGGGTTACATTAGTCAATATGGACTCGGATATGCTGCAATAACAAATTAACTCTGGAATCTTGATAGCTGAACACATAAAAAATATTGTTTTCTCTTGCTACATCATTTTCAACGTGCATTATTGGAGGTGGAGGGGAGGCTATATTCCACACAGGCAATCCGGGATCCAGGATGATAGAGGCTTTGCCAGCTGGAACACCACTAGTCACCAGGCAAGCAAATAGAGCAGCCAAAGTTTTGTCTACTAGCTCTTAAATACTTCAGCCCCAAAGGACATCGATTACATCTGTTTAGAATTCATTGTCCAGAACTTCAAGAATGCTGGGCAATATGAAGAGAGCACATGTATATTTGTTCACTAGCAAATGTTCCTGCCACAGGGAAAAATATTTTATTTTGGAGATTAAAATACCAGACAATTCTTATTTCTGATCAATTCAGTCATATTTAATGTAAGAGACACTTATGGAATTTCATTATTGTCAAAGTACTGTGCATTAGAAAGGATTCAAATATTAATAAGACAGTTTCCACTCTTCTTCAGGATTTTATAATGTGACAATGGGTGCAAATCTACAAATAACTGTGTTAATCCCTTTAAACTAAGGGTACAGGGAAATCAGGCTACCAGTTCTGTGAATACTCAGATTTTTTGTGGCTTTTTCCTCTAATGGGAGAAGCCGAATGTTCAGAAAGGAATCTGCACGTAAGTCTTATCTGCCAGTGTGACTTTTATTCAATTAGAAGGTTTCCCTTAATCCTTGATTCACTCATTTAAACCTTGGTTTTTGTCCCAGGAGGTTATCACTTATATTTATGGAATGCAGTTGCGTGTATTAGTTCCCCTGTTGGACTCTCATTTCCATGAGAGTGGAGACTTGCCTTTTTCTTCCTCTTCTGTATCTACTTAGCATTTACCATGGTTCCCGGCACATCAGAAAAACTCAAAAAATATTTGTTAAATGAATTAAATGGCCTCTAATAATTAATTGCGGATCAGCAAAGTTCTGAGTTCAAATGTTTGCACTGCTACTACTACAAAACTAACCTCTGCGAGTTACTAAAGCCTCTGAGTATAATTTTTCTTAAAACTATAGCAGAGTTGATTGAAGGATGAAATGTTGGTATATATGTGAAATAGTCCTCCTCAGTAAATATTAGTTTCCTTATTACCTTCCTCTGAGCCAGGCCTCTTTTAAAGTCACCATGTAGCTTTCTCTAGAACAGGCATTACCAAAAACAATAAACTTAATTCAAAATATGAGAGTTTTCAGGCTGCAGTGAGTATTAATTATGTTTTTCAGTTTGGAAATAAAACTTAGCCAGAAGAGATGCTTCCTCTCCAGCTCCGCTGAGGTGTTTTACAGTCAGCTTCCTCTACTCTTGATAATTTCAAGACTTCATAGAAATGAAAATAAAGCCCTTCTTTCAAAAAGGCTAGGGAACTTCTCCTGTAGGGTCTGCACAGAGAGTTTGTTGTTTGGGGTAATTATATGGAAAGAACGGTGGCTAACCAGACTCTTTGATTCCTTCTTTCCTTCCTTTCTTCTTCCAACTGCCTAGATTAGAAAGCCAGTCTCACTCCAGCACACTATGTGGTGACATTCAGTCACGGGGAAATTTGCTGAAACATCCCTGGCAAGCTTCAGAGATTCATGGAATAGCAAAGACATACGTAGTAAAAATCTCCAATGGAAGGCTCAGCTATGCTGTTGAACATAACGGATCTTCAGGAAGAAGTGAGAACAAGCCTATCATTGTTCTCAATGTTTTGCATGTAATTATCTCAGTTCATTTTCATAACATCTCTATTAGGTGTGCTGTTATTTTCGCCATATGATATTTGAGGAACTGATACCCAGACGAGTTAAGTAACTTGCCAAAGATCTTATGGTGGTGAGTGGAGTAGCAGGATTAGAACCCAGGTGATCTAACTCCATGATCTTTTTTAAAACAATGCATAATACAATGTAAATGAAAACTTAACTCATGGGGCAATATAAGTTTTACCATATTTTATGATTTAACAGGAATACAGAACAAACAGCCTATGAAGAACGTTGGCTTCCTGTTAAGATAATCAAGGTAGGCAGGTCAGTGAGTAGGTTTAAATAATCTAGGTACACCAACCAAAGTTCTGTTAGAAGCTTGGTGTGAACAAGTTTTCCAAAAGTGTCTATTCATGAACAAATAGGAAACAGAACAGGAAAACAAGTCAGTGGAAATCTCCAATGTGTATGCCAGTGCTCAAAGGGTTCCACTGGAGCTGCTGGGATAACATCTCCACGTTTAGTAACAATTATTGAGGAATAACTTCACACTCAATGATTCTTCTAGTGCTATCCACATTTTTGAACACGTAGAAGTCAATGGACACTCATTAATTATATTATTGAGCAAAAGTCTATTACTCCTAGACATTGTTAAAGGCTTAGCCCAACTTCATGTGTAGAACAATGGTTCTGTGTGGTTTAACAGAAAGACCAGAAGCTTTGCATTTGAATAGGCACATGCCAGGACCTGGTTATGACATTTCTTTTCTATATGATATTAAGTTACCAAGTCTCTCAGATTCTCTTACTCATCTCTAAAATGATGATTATAATTCTAGTCTTATAGAATCATTGTGACAGTTAAAAGAGATAAAGTGAAGAGGTGAC